CAGCACTCTCTGCAGAGATAAGGTTCCTGTAGCTTAGCCCTGTGCTTTCCTTCCTATATCTGATGCTACGCTTCAGCTGAAATACTTTCTGCCTCCCAGGATGTGTACAGAAAGAGGCGTATTTTATTTTAAAAGTCAGTCACTTAAATGTACCAGAAAAGTTGTCGTGCTCCTTCCGTGCCTCTGAGGAGCAGCAGGCTGCCCCGTGCTGTGCCCCCTTGCTGGGCAAGTCAGGAGCAACAGTTCCCTATCAGACCCCTCGCTGCATGGCATAGCGTGTGAGACTCCTGCCTTTTTGCAGAGAAGAGACTTTATTTCTACACCTGACTTTCCGAGCAACTCACTCTACTGTCAGACATCAAGGTTGTGTACAAAAGTGTGTTTTACGCTCAATGCATTTTTGTTCCCTATGGTGGCAAAAGAAGGTTGACATGGAAGGTCAGGCACTGCCTTCTCACTGTTGGCATCTCTCTGCTAATCTATACATTCTTGCACGCTGCTGCCATTTGCCGTGGTATGATTTAATGCATACTTGGCCCCTGGAGGAAAGACTTAAAGGTGAAGCTACAATATTTATTTAGTATGTGATTGGCCAAGTCATGGCCAAACACTTTTCAAACAAAGCCACTGTGAGGAATGTAAAAGCATATCTCTACTGACGGCAAGAAAGATGATTACAGATTGTATATTGTTCTACATAGCTAGAAGATATGACTATGCTTCTATAGAAAAGAGAAGCACCCCAAGCCAGGTTGGAAACCACGCATTGTGCTAGGGTGCTAGGTGTTGGCCATACCCTACTCCTTTCTCAGGTTGGATGATGATTCCTGGAAGGAAAAACATTGAGGTTTCTATAGAAGAATAACCATTTCTCAGGAAAACACAAGTGAACAGTTTTGAATGAGAGCAATCAGCTCTTTAGTGAGGGATACATGGTTTGCAACCAGATCTGATCCAGAGTGTGCTAGGGCCAATGACTTGGAGCTGGGCCAGAGTTTATATTTATTTTCCCTCAAATGAAGATCAGTATTGTGTATTGCATGCGGTAAATCATTTTCTGTGTCCTATTTTACAATACAGCAACCGATAAATAATCTCCGACTTGCCAGTGAGGTACGTTAAATTTCTTCAATTTCCAAAGTATCTGTCAAGAAGGTTGCTAAAAACCCTAAAGCCTGTACAGCTGCTGGCAAAGATGTGACCTAGGAGGACGTGGCAGGCATGGTTTTCCCTTGCCATAGCAAGAGGCTCATATCGTTTTCAATTGTTATAGCCAACTGCTGCTGTAATGCTGGGCAATGTGGGCAGGGCTAAAGGTTATTTATTTGAATGCACCCTGCCTGAAGCCCTGGAGCCCTTCTGCATCCCAAAGATCTGCCCGTCATGCATCTGTGTACAAGCCCCCGTTTTGTGTTACTGTATTCCCATTTTATAGATGTTTTTTCCCTAGGTAGGCTGTCATGCCACGTTGGACAATGGCTGGTTGCTACTTACACAGTTTGGGGAGTGCTGGTTCCTGGTGCCTATCACCAGACAAATTTTCCTGGGAGTTCCCTTAGGAATAGCTCTAGCGGTGCTGCACTATCACACATCTGGTCCTCAGATGGGTTGGAGCGCCCCACAGCCCGGGCAAGCAGCAGCCTCAGAAAGGCCTGTGTCAAGCAGTGCCCCATATCTACCACGGATAAGCTATCTGCATTTGTTTATTTAACTTTTACTCACTGGGGATTATAAGCCTTTAGTTTCCAGGAACAAGCCCTGTTCAGGAAACGCTTGCAGTGAGCTCTGCTTTGCATCAAAGCTGACTTCCCTATAGGTATTAAAGGTATTAGTGTATTAAAGCTATGACTTTATACTAGTTTTTGGCTGATTTAGATATCTTTTATTCTGAGTGGGTCAAGTTTTGCTTTGATTGAGGCTGTAGCACGAAACTCTCCTTGCACTGCTTCACGATGACCTTGTCTCCCTTTTTTTATTTTTGCTGCTCAGCTATAAAATAAATTCAGAGAACATACATTTTTTTCAGAAATAAATTGTCTTTATTTTAAAATTCAGACACATGTGCTTTATACCAAAACAGATGCCAAAAGAGACGTGGTATTCATCTCTGTTTTTAAGCAAAACTGTGGCTTTCAGGGCTATATAACCAGACACAGCGATTCTAATGAATCTTTACAATTGTATGTCTCCCTGCCGATACTCAAGATAGTTTTGCAGGCACTTCAGCCATCTTTCTGTCATGACCTCTCACAACAGAATCCAAAAGATCTCAGAGATTTCCAGAGGTTAAAAAAAAAAAGAGAAAGAAGGAAGAAGATGGTGTCTTTACAGTGGCTTATTAAATATGGCCAGCGCTCTACCAATTTTATGCCACCTGCATTTCTTCTCCCTGGTCTCCATGCCACCTCCATTTCCAAAAGCTCTCCTGACATCACAGCACTGGTCGCCCTCCTAAAGTTCCTCCATTGCCAATCTCTGCTTTGTAATAGGATGTGTATAATTTTCGGAGATTCTTGAATAAGAAGAGTCTTTGGTAAGAGTGGTTAAGTCCCGATTTCACAGCAACTCTGGTTTTTGGGCAAATGCTTCAATTATTTTTCCTAAGTCTTCCTCCAGCATATGGTGGCACATGGAACCATCCTTACAGTAGCCTTCTGCTGCTACCCACTTCTTTCTCTGCTACTGTGTGGTCCTTCCGGCAGCAAGTGCAAATGGCTGGTGAGAGCCTTCGTCAGAGACGGGTAATGTCGCTTCCCGGTTGAGCAAATCCGTGTATGTATTTGTTCTGGTGAGCTTTGTGTTCAGGCTGTCCTTAGAATCTGTCACCTTTCCGTTAAAAAAAATACTGCTTCTCCATTGAGGCACCAGGAACCAAGGACTGACCCAGATGATTTTCACTAACAATTCAATTTTAATTAATTTCCTTTAAAAAACAAGAAAAAAAAAATCCCCAACCTACAAAAATCAGTTCCAAATTCAGAACAGCAAAATGTGAGGGTACACAATATTGGTTTGGACCAGAACCTAGTTAGAAATTATTTGCAGGGGAGTACTTGATTCAGGTTATTATTTCAAATGATGCTGTAATTGGGGATCTGAGATTTTAATCTGGGTATCTCTCTGCTTAATACAAATCATGCCCTTATGAGCCAGATTTGCTGCCCAAGACACTGATGCTAATTAAAAAATTTCAAAATAAACTCAAGTATTACTTATTGTTACCTTCTTAAGTCAAGTATTTTCAGCGTACAGTTTATGAGGAAGAGAATGGCACTTTCCTTTTTCTTCCTCACCCACCTTGTTTTAAGGAAAGTTTTTCTCAATTTTTTTCCTCATTTATTTTATGTTTCCCTTTCAAAAAACCAATGCTTGATGTTAAATTGGAAATGTTGCATATTACTTATAAGTATATGGGACCACAAGAATGTAAAAATAACATCCCCGTGTAAATGAAACAAAGGTAGGAAAAAAGTATGGAAACAACGGCTGACATCTCTGAGGTGAGGTGGAATGGTGTTTGCGTCTGATTCTGACACAAAATATTTTAACGGGTGAAGCTGCAAAAATCGAGTGTGCTATGGTGACACAAGTGAAATGTTAACACAAGTTAAGTCCATTCTGATCATTGTGTAGGCCTCAGAAAATAAATTCTTATTGTGAGCTTTTTGTGAAAGCAAGAAAATAAAATTTCTTTAAACTTTGAGGGAAATTTATCCAAAACTCTGCCACGCTAGTGTGCCTATACAGAACTGCTGACTAAACAACTATCTTTGACACATTTTTGCATCCGCTACCCTGCATTAGTTACCGAAGGCTCCCTGTCAAAAGCGCTGCAGAATCGGGTCTTAGGAACTGAACCCGCAGAGAACAGGATGTCTGTTTGGTTAAATTAGTTGATAAGAAATCACATATTCAGTTTAAGTCTTCCATCTTGCTTCTCTTCTGGGCTGAGGCTGTACTTAGCAAAGATGGCTCTATATAGCTGGGTGCCATATCCTTCCTACTCTTGGAAGAATTTCCCAGGGAGGTGGAGAATGCTGAGAAGGGAACTGTACACAGGTTGCCCTCCTTCTGCAAAGGAGCTCTGGCTCCTGAGGTGCTGAAGACTAGAGGAGGAAAAGGCATGTAGGGAACCTTACTGCTGAATAGTGGTTAGGCACTTTCAGGAATACGAAGCATGTGACAAAGGCTTTTAGGACTGTCATTTAGCTGCCTAAATCCCATTCAAGTCTCCTTTTGGGTCTTTCTCTTTGGGCCTCAGTCTTTCTGTATCTCCAAGAACAGTTACCATGAGAGAATAAATTCCTCAGAGCCTGCAAAACACTGAGTTATGGTGAGAACCTGGGTGGTCCGAAGTAACTCTTAATGGAATATGACTTGAGGGTCTGGTTCATGTCTTTCCTGGGGCTTAGGGTAGCAACAGCATCACCTGAAATAGGGATAGTACTGAAAATGTCCTTGAAAATGCAGAATGTAACTTGGGGTGAGTACATTTCTCTTGAAGGCTTTGGGCAGTGCATGGGAAAAGCTGATAGCACTTCATGAAAGGTAGTGGTGGTCAGAAGATTTAGAGAGAAGGATGCCTTGCTCACTCATTCCAGCTGGACTAGAGCAACAAGTGAAACACAAGTCTACACAGGAGTCTGCTTTAATCCATCACTCTATTTTATGAAGCATCACACAACATTTTCACCAATTAGCATTTGATAGTAGTTTAAGTAAGGACCACAGGGTTATTTAAGGAAAAAACGCCAACCTATTTCATAGTCACTGACTCCTCATTTGGCAGCAGTGCTCTTGGAGGGCTTGGGTAGTACCCGGCAGTTGCTGAGCTATTTGAGGAAAATCGTGTAAATCTATAATCCAGTGGTAAATCTGAAAGACAGAAACATACCGCATCTGATTAGCAACACAGCCTGTATCACACAAAAAATAAGCCTGTGGTGAACAGCAGTTCTTCTTGAGCCCTGGAGCTGTTTGCTCACCAGCATTAGAACTCAATCAGCTTGTGTGATTACATATTTATTTTACATCTTCAGCTGTCCAGGGGATTGACTTTCAAAGTTTACGTGACTGCAGTAAAGGATATTCAGTTCCTTGATTGCTAAAATAATGCTAGCCATGGAATATTATTAAACTAATGCCTAAAAATTAAACAAAAATCTTCACTGGGCCTAGATGGAGTTTTCCCACTAGAACACTTTCAGTTCTATCTTCAGTTTGCCACCTTCCTCTTTTATCTCAGCAACCTACTCATAAAAGGGCTAAGTTTAAAATAAAGAAGTCAGGTTTTTTCTTTTTCTTTTTTTTTGTTTTGGTTTTTTTTGTGGCTATTACAGCAAGATTCCCCAAAGGCTCCAGCTCTTAGACCTTCTTGCAGTCCAGTGTTAACAACACCATTTTGTACCAAGTGTTCTTAGAAATCTGCACTTGTAACTTGGTGTACTCGCCACTTCCACTCTGTAAAGAACACTGAATGCATTAAAATAGTTCTGAACAGTCAAGGCTTTCTTTTCTGTAGCTTTTTAAAAAGTCTTTACTGCCAGCAGTGACCCACCCACCCTCACAGCCAGAAAACTGATACTTCCCATGCTCACCTCGCATTCAAAGTTCAAGAAACCAAATTACAAAACCACACAAATAAAAATTCAATCAAGAAACAATTGCCCTTCCAATAATTGAAAAAAAAATAATCCCGAAACCCCAACCAACAGAAAAGGGTTAGCTCCTTCCCAGGTTGTCTCTTTAGAACCAAAGCAAAACATAGAAACCAGTACTCAGCTCATCTGAACAGGAAGCTATTAATGACAACTTTTTTTTTTTTTTAAGTTGGACTAAATTTGGGGTGATGATATCCTGTCACCATAGGCTAATTTTTTTTTTTTTTTTTTTTTTTTTTTTCCCCTCAGCAGCTTCTGTGCAACAGAAAAACACGATCTGGGGTGTTTCGGCACAAACAACAGGAAGTCCAGGTCTGTCGCACAAGTGATTCACGGGCGGGCACCAGGACAGCATCCAGGTCTGCAGCTTTAAAACCACGTTAAACATAACGAAAGCAAGCAAATTAGTATCCAGATCCAGCTGAAAAATCAGATAGAGGCTGCAATAAAAACAGGCGGAAACTTGATTGGAAGTGAATGACGCGTTATGAAGTGGGTTACTTCAGCTTGTCAAAGAAGTACACTTTCTCATTTTGTCTGAGTCTGGGGAATCTCTGGAGCCCGTTCTGAGCACAGCAGGACAGGCAGATGTTTTTCTAGTCTGCGGAGGGCCCGATGGATTTACTGGCTGCTGAGTCTATTTATGACAACTCTGTTTAAAACAAAGGTTTCCAAAATAACAAATAGTAATAGAAGAGCAAGCAAATATTTCTGAATATGAGCTATAAAAATGAAAAGCCATACAGCTACTTTTATATAAAAGCTTTCACTAGCTTTTTAGTCCAGCAATCTGGAGCGTCCCGAGAGTAGTTTAACCAAAGAGCAGCACAAAAGGGGTAGACTTGCTGCAGAGTTGCTTATGCTGAAGAAAAGAATCAGTTGGATCAAAATGGTAATTTTGTTGATATTTCCTGGTAAACTAGCTTTACACAATCAGCTTAAAACACCAAACCCATTCTATGTACAATGCACCAGACCCCAGAAGAGAATAATGACTTTTTTACTATTCCAACCCCAATTTATCCATTTAAATATTGTTTTTGTCTGAGTAAGCTGGCTTTGGAAGATGATCAGAAGGTATCCATATGTAAAAATGTTGTCCAAGGCATCACTGAAAATTGCATGAAGCAGATACTAGTCTTCACCCATTAAGCAGATTTTATGTATCACAAACATAGTAAAAATCTTCCTCTATTTCCATTTTTTCTTTCACCAATGATTTAATTTCCTGCATCTGCTTTGCCTGGAGTATGCAACATTTTATATTATTGCTTTATTCGTGTGATATATTTATGAGAAATCTCTGGACTGATCCAGAAAGGCATACTTGGAATCTTAGTGGCTATGAATAAACACACGGTGAGGAAGAAGGGCAAGTATACAGGGCAAGAGAAATGAAGATTTTTTATTGGGGGAATGCAAAATTTATGACAAAATGGAGATCCAGACGAAGACTGCTGTAAGCTCATTTAAACTAAGTTCTGTGAAACCTTTGCAACTTAAAATAAATTGCAGTTGCCCTGGATTGCAAAGGTATCATGTGAATTGTACACTAAAGCTCAGTCCAACTTCTTTTGATGTAAGGAACAACGGTATCACTAGGTCCAGCTATGCTGGCTCATCAACAAAAACCAACAATGCAGATCTGGAGCCTGCCTCCTGACACAGCAGCAATTAATTTCATATCCGGTCTAATTCCATATTAGCACTGGTGACACAGAGAAGCTATAAGCAGCTCTGTTTCACTAATCTGAAATGCTTGCACAGGCCACAGCTTGATGCAACAGCACGCAAAAAAATAAGGTACAGTATTTGATAATAAAGCAAGTCTCAGGGAAAAAATAGTTGCTTATTTCCAAGTTGATTGCTTTCCTGATGTTTTTGCCAGTAAATTTCTCCAGGTTCTGTTACTGTGCATGCTCACAACTGCTGCTGGCCTGGCAGACCTTTGCATCTTGCCACCCACTTCTCTCCCCTAACCCTGATGGACAGTGATAAATTAGGCTGGGAGCAGAGAGCCAGTCCTCTCTGAGATACAACCTGACAGCGAGGCTCTAACCACTTTTAACCTACACTTATAATTAATTCAGCACAAAACTCATCCACTCTCTTGTATTGCCACTCTCCTCAAACAAAACCCCAAATCCTGAACAAACTAAACAGCCTGAGGCTGGAAGAATGAACGAGCTGGCTCCACCCAATTGCTTGAGGACCACGACCCCAGAATTTTTGCATTGTACTTAGGTAATTCCACCCTGACTCATTTTGCTCCCAAGACAAATGGGATATTAACTTTTGGAGAAGTCAGGCATGGAGGGTCTCAGGGTCTATGTCCCTTTCTAGACCTCCAGAAATCTCAGTTGTTAGATGCATCCTCCTGAATTTCTGTCCCACGCCTTTCTTTGCTCCCACACCAGGGCCTGAGCGCGGGTGATGAAAACCAGTTTCCTTCACGGCGACCATTCAGCCTTACTGGCATTTCCCAATGGCTTGGGCAGCCCTCATGGGTTATGCACCTCAGCCTGAACTCGCAAGCAGGAATCCTGCCCGGCCCTACCTTGCTTGCAGGACTCCAGTAGCCCTGGCGTAAATAAAATGGCAATGATGATGTTTGAACAGTAACCACTGTCAGTCACTGTGTTCTAGTTATCCAGATCCAGGTATTAAGTGACATTAATTACAACATTGAGCTCTGATGCTTATGTATACCCATATCCATGCATGTATTTAGGTCTTACGGATGCATTAATTTCATAGTTATTAAGCTGACAACATCTCAGTGTCTGTGTGCTGTGTGCAGTTAGTGTAAGCAAACTAAATGACAGCCACGAGTTTTTATCAGAAGCAAAATTAGAGGTCCATCCACAAGGAAGGAAAAGGAAACCACAAGAAGAAGGGAAAATGCAGTATTCTCAGTGAGTGATCAGGAAAATATTTGAGTAACTGAATGGAACACAATCATAATCTAATCCAGACGCAGGCCTGCTTGATAAACTCAATACACACGTCTAATCCTTTTGTGAGATTTCCTTGAACAAACCAATACATTAAACAAATATAATCTTAACTAAGCTCTTTAGATGGAAGGCTTTTTTTTTTTTTTTTTTCTATTAAAAACACAGTCCAAGACTGAAACAGATTTCTCCCAAAATACACAGCAGAAATGTCAGGAATGGTTTTGCAGTATTGACCAACAAAAGCAAAGCCAACATTTGGTAATCATGACACAAGAGAAGCATCGCGGTGACGAGTGGGAAGCCCTACAGAAAGCAGAGCTCCCCTCCCCTGGCTGAGGTCGGCTCCCTGCCCATCAGCAGGGCTGCAGCCAGGCGCTGCAGGAACCTCCTAGCAAACAGCAGGCTTGTGTGCTTAAGCAAATCCAGATATATCCTCCTGATTATCAACAAGGAGAAGAGACAGGAAAGCTAAAACTTCATGAGGGATACCCAAGTTTTTAACTTGAAAAATCTTAATTGCAGCAAAATCTCAGAAAGCACAGACAGAGCTCTATCTTACGGCTCAGCACCCAGGTGGTATAACTACAGGGGCAGACCGTCAGCCAGTATTCATTCTTTTGCTTTTACAGGAATTCCAGTAACTACACTGGCTTAGAAGCTTTGCCACAATTCTTTCCTTCCATTTCAGAGCTGCTGTTGAAGAAAAGAGGAAAATTTTAATTTCTTAATGGTAATAATTTCTAATAATAATTTCTTACCAGTGGAGTAAGCACAACTGCCGCAGGGGAGCTCACCAGTTTGGCTGCGCTGGCGAGTGACCTGACTTGCCAATCTGCCGGTAAGCTATAGCAGGTGTGTTTTTTTTTTTTAAAATACAAAATGTTTTTATCTCCTGACCCATTTCTATTTTATAACAGTCCCAGCAGCGCTTGCAGCGAGAGCTCAGAATGTGAAGGAGCGTACTAGTGGCAAAAAGAAAAAACCCCAAGGTCACAAGTAGATTTATCTGATAGGGGTTATTTTTAGCAAAAGTGCTTTTCCTGACGAGGAGGTCAAACATTTGCTGTACTAAAACAAAGCTCCAGAAACGGTGAAGTCAGCACAAGGAAAGCGTTCCTTCCATCAGCTACGTGAAAGTCATTGCTGCTGTCTGTATATGCTGTGACTCAAAAGAGGAGAAAGAAGAGGAGGAGGAGAAGGAGGGGTGTGCAGTGTTGTATGGGAAAGGGGGGACTCTTCAGTACAGGTATGCTCTACA